ATTAACTTTTTTGTAATTGAGATCATTACATGAGATGTTAAACTCTAACTTTCTTTGGTGAAATTGTATTCATGGAGGATCAAGACCAGTGAAGTTTGCGAATTTTTCAGAGTGAACCTTGAGTTTTTATGATTTTGTTACTTCTTGTCCATTTTGTTCCAAGCTTGGCCTAATTTTGTTTGACGATTCCAGCAAATGATTGACTGAGCAAATCACTTATAACTATGTAGATTTTTCTCAAAATTTGGCACTTTTTTCCAATCCTCCTTTTGTGTAACACCACATTGAGCTAAAGCCTGCGAGAAAGTATCTTGACTAATCGCTTCAATGACATGTGGTTTCATCAATCTAAAGACTTTTTGGAGAGTAGTGCCTGTGCTTGGTGGAGCATTCCATGTATCGTAATTTGGGAGTTTATAATAATAACGGTGTTCCCCAGAGGACTAAAGTCTAAATCCGTATGTACCACACTGAAAGATAATGCAAGACGAAAAAGCACAAAGAAAGAAGAAATTAGTGCGCAAGAGGACATAAAAATTAAAATGCCTAGCAGCGGAATGAATAGATGGCCTGATACTTACCTTATACTAAACAGAAGCAGCAACGCATCTTTGTTAATTCATCTTTGTTATTGTTCTTGCTACAAAGCGGTTTACATTTAGAGCATCATTTAAATGATTTTCCGGAAGAGAATGGGTCAGGTTAACTAAAGCTTTCTAGTTTTTGATAATTCGAATTCTAACGTACTTTGCGAATTTTAGTCAGTATGTTGTGGATTTTGAACATAAAAATTAGGCAACACATAAGATCAAATTCTCTAACATTTGGAATTTTGATGTACTGTGTTAGCTGATTGTCCACGTCAATCGCTCCCTTTAGTTTACAATCTTTGGCTGAATATTCTGCTGATACAGAATCATGCACAACGACGCTCAAAAAAGTTCGTGCCCGAAAAATGCCTCCAGTCCAGATAGGGAATGGTTAGCAATCGAAACTGGAAATGGAGACGAAACAACAAGCATGCTGAAAGAGAACGGTGCGTCTGAAAGAATATTTGAATTTGTGACCAAGTATATTATCACATAGCTTCCAAAACACTGTACGAAAATTGCAGTGCAGAAGGATTATGCAGATTTTAGTGACGAATAGGCGACGGGAGCGGAGGAGTGAACGCAGTGATCATTTTTAGTTACCACTGCGCTCTCAGATTTCAGTCAATATAACTATAATTCACAACAACCTGTTATCCTACCATCTAGACATATCATGTACAGTTTCAGGCACTTTGATCATGGAAAGCTCAGACAATAAGAAAACAAAACCTCGATATTTTCCATTGTATTCTGTCAGATCTATGCGATTATGGATATGTTTGCTTATCACTACTGGTAAATATTGCAATGTAATTTTTTGTGAGACTCATAGAATCTATTCAGGTCTATTCAGGCCTCTACTCAACTGTATCGATGAGGCTTAACTTGAGCATGGCTCTTGTCTGCATGGTAAATTCAACTGCTTTTGCGTCGGAATCTCTTGGAATAAACGAAACTTCCAAATCAACTAGCTCGTCGAAGTGTGTGTCTGCTGCCACGGATGTGGAGAGCGTTGCTCAAGCTGGATATACGGTACCTTTGTTTAGATTAGACTGGCGCTGTAATGTGAGCAAGACTAATAAACACAATTTATAACGCAAGCGATGTAGCACAGCACGCCCTCATCTATAACATGTCAGGATTTTACCCTTTGACTCAACGGGATTGGCGGCTGCAAGGTGGGGCTTCGAGGCCTAATGAATGCTAGAGAATGATCAGAGAGCACACTCGCGAGACAGGCGCAGACTGCAGCTCGGGTGCTGCCGGACGGCCTTCCAGCCGCCAATCCCGTTTGAATCGAAGCGTATGTGGTAGATATATGCATGCAAGAGCAAACCTTTAGGGTGACCTACTTTGGAGTCCAGCAATGCAGTCTCTCCTGTTGTCGGCAACATTTTACGGTGGATTGGTGACTATCAGCTTCGCCGGTGTCTTGGCAGACAGATATGGCCCGAAAACAATTGTAATAGGTAAGGATAAGCAAAGATGTTCTTCGTTATCCAGAACGAATTTTACAGCATTGACCATAGACTACATTGTTGTCACATTGCTGACGCCATTTCTTGCTCGTCATTCCTATGTTGCGTACTTCATTTCTCGAGTCATTATGGGTGTCGGAGAGGTGCAGATCTTGCGCTATACATCGCTATACATTACGTGTATGATACATCATTGAAGGGTTTCGTTTTTCCCTGTTTTGCAAGCCTTATTGGGAAATGGTATGCTCCAGCAGAGAAATCAACAGTTGCAGCGATGTACACTTCGGGAAATCAGGTGAGGCTCTTCAACATCCTCGTAATGCACTTCAATGTTCCAAGAAGGGTTTTTGACACTCTATAAACAAGCTTTCAGTTGGCGGCTGGATTCTCCTCATTGTTTTCTTCTTATCTTTGTACTTTACCACCTGGATGGCCAATCATATTCTACTTATTTGGTGCAGTTGGCTGTCTTTGGTTGGTGTTATGGATGGTCTTCGTCACAAATTCTCCTACAACTAATCGATTCATAACTATGGAGGAGAGAGAATATTTGGTGGATAATATCAAACATACGCATTCTGCGGTGGGTTCCTTGAATCAAGACCGAATCTCTAAGGCAGAGATGGTTCGAGCTCAGACTTCTAGAAGTAAGGACATCAATTATATACTTCCCCGACGAGAATTTTTTTACGAAGCTTTGAATTTTTTAGCAAAAATTTATTTAGATCACCTACAAGTATAAAAAGCTGGTTGTAGAGTTTTTTGACTCATATATGTAGTCAATGATTTCGCGACTCATTGTCGGGGCACCCCCACCCCTTCCGCGGGAATGGGTACCCAAATATAAGGGGGGGGGGGGC